ATCGGCCAAAATTTTCATATCAGTGCATCCCTAGTCTTGGAAACTCGTTTTGAAATTCAAACACAGTCTACTGAACACAAAGACAAACAGCAAGAACTGCTTCACCAAGGACATGCTGAACTCATGTCAGGAAGAAAGCTTTTATACAACTGTACAAATGTGCTTTTATAACAGATTCTTCTTTTTGCACATCATTTGAGAGTCTCGACGGACATGGCTTGTCAACTTCCAGCACAAAATGTCTTTCAACAGCCTCCGTGCTTTTAATACCCATGACGAAATCTATGAACAAGTTTATATCAATGTACAAAGTGTCATGTGAAGCTTTAGCACACCGTTCCGTTCTCCATGCGAGTCTTAGGACAGGAGGTACGGGATTGTGGGGGAGGCTGAATCGATGGTGCCAGGGTGCAGAAGAACCCAGCTATGAGGGTCAGTCCTAGTCCTCCCCAGGCACTGAACATGGACCAGCCGTAACCATGGCTTATATCATCTGGGAGGCTGAAGAGATAACGTGGGTAGCGAGACAGTTCAAAGTTGATGCCAGCCACACAGGTGCAAAGAGAGATTATGCAGAAGGTACCTGTGGTGGGGCATAATACTAGTTAGTAGATGTTTAGAAATCGGGCACCATGCCAACGAATTTTTAAGATAACAAAAGAGGAGGAAATCACATACCTCCCATAAGGAAGAGCAGACCGGCAACATAATGCATGAGGCCTTGCTCCCAGCAACAGCCCAAAACACCAATGGTCCAGCCAAATAGGATGATGGATAGAGCCATGCCCATGAAGCCAGCTGTCATTCGACGCAAATCTGGAGAAGGACCCAAATTACTGGGGGTGTCTAATATTGCTCCTAGAGGGCCACCTTCTTTCAGAGTTTAGCTGCAACCTGAAGCAAGTTTCTAGTAATCCTGAAGATGTTAATTAGCTGGTTCCAGCTAAACTATACAGGAAGGTGGGAACTCTAGGAGAAGGATTTGATACCCTTGCTTTAAACGATACCTCTATATCAAATACATTCATATGCTGGGCCTTCATGTGCATGTGGACAAAATTTGTTAGGGTAGGCAACCCTTATTGAGGTCCCAATGAGTACACTACACCATAGTAAGAGGGCCCGGGATATCACTGATGCAGACCGAAAAGAATAAGTCCCACTTACGCAGGGCATGCCAATCATCTTGCTGGATAGTCTTGGTGATATTGTAGGAAAGATCCTTTCGTGTCACTGCAGAGGAATAATAGTACTTTATAAAGGAGCAACGCTCGACAGTTCCTGGAAAAACAAGAAAAGCATAATTAGATCCAGACCCAGTATGATAATTAGAACTTGTACACAAGCCCAGCTTAAGCTCAGGCATGTAAGGTGGGCCTGGAAAGTTGGGGTGGTGGTTGTCAAGCTCATAATTAGGTGGACCAAGTCCCCTGTGGAGGCTTCTTGTGCATATGGACAAGTGTCATGTTTAGATGAGTAAACTACACAGATGGTCGAGTGAGTATTGCTCATCCAGTCTAAATTAGTGAATCTCAATCCAGATCCTGGAGTACCACCATGTTCAGATCTTGAAGCATCTACTAACGAGCTGATGAAATATATCAAGTGTGTTAAATAAGGTAGACTTATCCAGAATGTGCATTGATCAGGTACTCCAGGACCAAGCTCAAGGACCACTAGTCCAAACCACTACAATTCATAGAAAACTGAATGTTTATTATTTTCAGAGTTGCTTATGATGTCCAATATTGAGAAAACATCCAAGCTGTTTTTTTTATTAAAATGAACTGACACTTTACTCTGATGCATCCATAGGCCTGCTTATATACATTTAATAGAGATGTCAAGCTTCTAGCTTTAAATGGCAGTTTCCAGGCTCATTATTGTAGCATAAAACAACACATTCCTGTAAGGCTCAGGTGGATGTTTTTACCTTTTTGTATGAGCTCTTCGATGTCTGGGTCAAATCCCACCCTGTAGCATTTGCTCCACAGCCCCATGTTGGTTGAATTGTAGCGTCTGCTGCACTCATCAGCCGCGCTCATCGCGAACAGCTGACGCCGGTTTCTTTGCAGCAGCAGTCGGTCTTCCCATCGGTCCAGGCTCGCTCGGCTG